ACAACCGATTATAATCAGGCTTCAAAATTTCCTAATGAAATAAGTAATAACAATTCAAATCTTGAATAACTAAACATATTAGTTTAATTAGTGAAGTTAATGTGAAATGATGTAATTGATACGTAATGTATAGTATAAAAGAAAAAAAAAAAATACTGATTAAAAGAAGATCGGTTCTCTTTCTCAAAAATAATAAAAAAAAAACTTGCGTTATAATATAAAGTAAAAGTAGCACTTTGACATATGAAGCTTTATATTGCACAATAAAAATGCTACCTGTAAGCAAATGTGTTCGTCAATTGCAAAATAATATATTAATTGCCCATTAAGTATTGCAAAATATGGAAAATGGTGAAAATACTGAAAGCGATAGTGATATTAGTGACACTGAAATGCTTGAGAAAAATGCATTTATAAATGAAGAGAAAGCAGAAGCTGTCAGTAATGTGTTCAAAAAAATGATAAATCAGATGAATCAAAAACAAAGAGTAAATAAAAAACATCCACTAACCTATATCAGAAATTCTGAATGAACACGTTGACGAAAAAAAGCTAAAAGCAGACAAGATGCTGTGGGAACAATTGCTATTACAATTTTTTTTTTTAAAGATAAAAGATTTGATCTTGAGAGCAGTGATGAAGAAAGTTATGATGAAGAAGTCAGGTTGGAGAAAGTCAGGTTGGAGAAAATCAAGATGTAGAAGGCCAGAATAAAGAAGACCAGGATGTAGAAGACCAGAATGAAGAAAATCAGGATGTAGACTATGTTGATACTCAACATCAAAATATTGATAATACGATTAAAAAAATCGAAATAATGATGAAAAATAATAAGCCTGAAAAAGTTATGCTAGTGCATTATCAGTCAGTTATCTGGTACTTGCGCTTATTACAAAGTGGAAAAAATAAAACAGATTCTAGTAATACTGTTGCAACAGTTTGTAATAAGGGCAAATATTATGCTCGATGTATAAGAAGATGGGCAACTCTATGCTTAAAAGGTACAGTACCATATATAATATAATATTTAATTGTATATACATATAGTTTTTCTTTAAAAATCTTAAATTACTATATCAATTAATTAAATATAAATATATATTTTTACTATAATAATATAAGTGAATCTTTACCTCAAAGTTTTCAAGGAAAGCACCCATCTAAATCACTTCTTCATGACGAGGGTATATCTATACGTATGGCTACTTATCTTAGATCAATAAAATTTCAAGCCAATCCAAATCTAGTAAAACAGTATCTTAAAGAAAAGATACTTCCGGACCTTGGTTTTACTACATAGCAAACTATAAGCATCAGAACAGCACGAAGATGGATGCATCACTTAGATTTTATATATAAACGTTATCAATTAGGAATTTATATTGATGAATACGAACGTCCTGATGTTGTTGTATACCAAAATAAATTTTTAGAACTAATGAACGAACTTGATTTGCTAATGCCTAAATGGCTAGATAAAGAATATAAAATAAAAACATTACCGATATTATCTCCACATCAAAAGCCCTATATTTTAGTAACACACGATGAATCGACCTTTCATGCATATGATGGTATGCATACTTTTTGGTGACTATATAGAGAACAACCTTTAAAAAAAAAGGGTTTAGGTGCAGGTATATATGTTAGTGAGTTTTTGACAGAAGAAATTGGTCGATTGAAAGATGAGTTTGGAGAAGCTCGAGTAATTATGAAATTAGGGGCAAATCGTGAGGGATATTGGAATAGTAATAGGCTATTAGACCAAGTACGTAAAGCAATCACTATATTTGAGTGTATACATCCAGAAACTATTGGAATATGGGCATTTGATAATTCAACAATTCATACGGAAATGGCTCCTAATGCGCTAAATGCTAATAAAATGAATTTGTATCCCAGTGGTGCACAACCATTAATGCGTTCAACTGTATTGAATGATAATGTTCAAGATATAGTTTTTCCTTCAAATTATAAGGATGAAGAATTGCGAGGTCAAGCAAAAGGTAAAAATATTTATTTTATTTGTTGTATCTAATGATTTAATTATTTATTTTTATTTGTTGTATATAACCATTTAATTATTTATATTTACTATTAATTTATTCATCATAATTAAAGGAATAAAAGTTGTTTTAGAAGAGCGGGAGGTTATGGAAAGAAGGATTGTTAGCTGATTGTAAAGGTGGACATATAGGAACAGAATATTGTGCGCACCAAATACTTCTTAATCAACCTGATTTTCAAGCACGATGTGAATTGATATAAGAAGAATTGGAAAAAAAAGAATATAAAGTAATTTTTTATCCTAAGTTCCATCTGAAGCTTAATTACATTGAAATGTATTGGGGTGCTGCAAAAGCATATGCAAGAAAAAATTGTAACTATTCTTTAACAGGTTTATGTCATATTGTTCCTGAAAGTTTGAATTCAATTTTAGTAAAACGTATTCGTGCATATGCTAGATTAAGTTATCAATGGATGAATGCATATCAATGCGGATTAACAGGAGAAGCAGCTGAATATGCTGTTCGTAAACATAAAAGTCATCGCAAAATTAATAGAGTAATGCTACAATAATTATAAATTGATATATAATAGTAGTGGTAATAATTTTAATAAAGAAAATTTTAAATAAATTACGCATCAATACAGAATATATAAAGAGAATTTAAAACTGTATTTCTTTTATTAAGTTGCAATAATTACAATTACTATACTGTATCGAATATAAATAATAGTGCATTATAATTGGATAACATATATAAACACGTGATCATGCATATTTTTGAAATTTGGCCACCTTTATATAGGGGGTGTCAATTTATGCTGTCCCGTACTGTAGTAAGAAAGTATTGGAGGGCTTGGATAGTTACAGGTTGCAAGGTGGTGTTGTACATTATCAATTGTATATAAATTAGAGAATTTCTGAATAAGGAGTCTATTTATAATTTTTAAAGTTGTACGATTGTCTGTTTTGCAAAATTTTTTCTTTGTCTCTCCCTATCCAATAAAATTTCTTTCAGAAATTAAGGATTTTTGATGATAATGATTGGTTCCTATGTCTGTTTCTCATAATACTTTGCTAAACAGTCGCTATTGTAATACTTCTATAAAACTTTTCCTTCTAATGTTCGTAGTTTATAAGTGCCATTATTCATCTTAGCTTGAATAATAAATGGTCCTTCACTTTTGTCTTCAAATTTAGCTGATTTTGACTTCTCTAAAGCCTTTAATTGTATCCAAACTTTTTTACTAATTTCGAATTCTTCTGGTCTGATTCCAGCATCAAAATATTTTTTCTGTTTCTGTTATAACTTCTTGGTATTAATTCAAGCTTCTTCTTATGTTGCGGCCATTCTTTCCATTAGTTCATAAGCACGTTGTAATATACTATCCTGGAGATCGATTTCTATATCAGGGTCTGGCATAGGTTTAGTAGGGATAATAGTTTCAATCGGTAGAGTAGCTTGTCTATCATACACTAGTTGAAAAGGCATATAACTAGTGGTAGCATGTCTCTTGGTCCGATATATTAAGAGAACAGCAGATATGTGTATATCCCATTCATCAGTTCCTTTAACCTTTGCGAGTGATTCGCAAAGTGTTTTGTTAAGACGCTTAACCATTCCATTAGTCTGTGGATGATATGGTGACAAGAACTTGTGTTTGATAAGGAACTTTTCACATAATATTTGGATAGTTTCGCTAATGAAGTTTCTTCCTTGATCTGACAAAATTATCTTGGGAGTTCCATGTCTACAGATAATTTCTTCGAAGATAAACTTTGC